TTATGCTCCAAAAAGGTTTCAACAATGGCGGTCGTAACCCTCTCCGGCAGAACGTCTGTGCCGATGGGCTCGTCTATGTCCCGGACCCCCAAAAGAAGCAACCATGTGTCCAGGGCCTCCTCAACCGTGAGAGGGCCATCAGGTCCAGTACCACCTGCCCCCGCGGCCTCCGAGGACGACGCTGGCATGTCCCTCGAAGCTCCTTGTTCCCGGCTGGCCTGAGGCGGGGATCGGTGGGTAGGTTTCTCCGACCGAGGCAGTGGGGCTCGAGCAGCAGGACGTGCCTTGGGCGTCGGCCTGGTAGTGGCCGGCATCGGTGTACCTCGGCACTTGTGCTTCGCCATGGCTGACAGATTCACCCTTTCAGTGGTCGTAGGTGCCGAGGGGCGATTCAAAGAGCGGGGTGTAGTAGAGGCGTGGGGAGTCCGCGGGCGAGAAGGTGCTCGTCGGCGGCGAGTAGGTGCATTCTTGAGCCATCTCTTGTTGACCCCCTTGCGATCCATGAGGGAGCTCACATCATCAGCGGCCTCCTCAGCACAGGAACGGTTGGACGAAGAAGCATTGCCAACCGAAATGTCGTCCACATCAACATCTCGAGCCTTCAAGCCGTGGTAGTTGTAGAGGTACCAGAGCTCCGACTCCCTGTCAGCAACCCATTCAGAAGCCTGTGGCGGCCTGGAAGAGTCCGGTGAGCCCAAGAAGGTGCCCAGCTGGCTGAGAACTTCTCTGTAATAGGGGAGTGCGAGGGAGCGATAGCTACCATTGTCCCTGGCTCTGATGAAGGCCACCATTTCTTCGAAGACCCCATGCAGGTTGTAGCCCGCGTGGTAGAGATCGTGGAAGTCGCCCACGCACCGGCCCACCCACTCAAGCCGCATGAGGGAGTGAGATCGGAAAGCCGGTCCAGTAGAGGCACGGAGGTGTCGAATGAAAGGAGGATCGCGTCGGAGTTGGTTGAACTCTTCCCGGCGTTGGGCTCGGAGCATGGTCTCCTGCGGTGGCGCGGGAAGGGAGGCCAGGTTCGGGTTCACATTGCGGAGACCTTCGTAAAGTCCCTGCTGGAAGGGGTACTCATGCTCCAGGAACTCCTCAAGGATATGGGCCTCCACAAAGGTCACCCAGACACGGAGGTCCAGGTGGATCTCCTCAGGCGCCAGGTTGGAGACGGGCAGCTCCAAGGTGTTCCCAATAGCCACAGCCGCTCTGGATGCGAAGTTCGTGTAGGTGGCAAAGTTGCGGTGGGAGGCAGTCCGGGCTAGCATCGCGAGGGCATCCGACATACGAAGCCCTCGTGCTGCCAGGTCTCGTCCTCGGAGAGTTGCCTCTGTGAACCAGATCGGCGGCCAGTTGCCGTAGTCATCCGGGATTGGCGCGAGCACACCTGGGAGCTGGGCGAAGAAGGGCAGAATCGTACCGAGGGCGGGCAAGAGAAAGTACATGTAGAAGGCTCCAAAGCCGGGGTGGCGATCGCACATTGGAATCACACGCTCGGCTGAAAATCACAAATACGGAGAGGCGGGTCTGATCCACACAGTCACTCGAGCCTGCTGTTCAGCAAATCAGACAGGGCAGTCTTCACCACGGTGAGCAACAGCGCACGAATTGGTAGGTCCGAGGTTCACCCCAACCCTTGTACTAGTTCATAGCCTCCGCAGGCAGGCTCATCTGAACCCCACTCGCCCAAGGCAAGTCCCTCTGTTGAATCCAGGTCGAAAGTTTAGCTTGCCAAGCTGCACGATCCAAAGCATAAACCCTCCACGGTCCCCCACACACTGTATCCATGGCCTTGTCCAAAGAGTGCAGCCGCGCGAAGAAACGTTCCGGGTGGGACAGCCCTGCATCTTTGGCCTTCTGCCACCATTGCCTGTCACGGAACATTTCCAGGATTGTGGAGATCGGGGGAAACTGTTGTTGCGAGGCCCTGACCCTGTGACCAGCAAATGTCCACCACCGAGTAAGCCAGCAGGTGCTCCACCGGGGACACCCTGCCACATGGAGGGAGTACCGGGCACTTCGCACCGCTCGTTTACGGAAGGCGGGCCAGTCCTCATCGGCTCGTTTTCCAAGCCGCAAAAGCCACGTCAGCAGAAGAGCCTGGAACGAGTTGACGAGGGCGAGCGCCGGACGATCAGGGGGAAGAGCGGCGATGCACCAGAGAGCAGTGTTGGAGATAACACGATGCATTAGCTGAACCCTCCCTTTGGCCTGAGTCTTTGAGCGGAACAAGTGCTTCAAGCCCCAAAATTTGGACCTGGCCCGGGACAGGAGTGGCTGTATAAGTTCACTCATGCTCATCCCTACCCTCATCTTCAGGCCCATCACCGGGAGGTGGTCAGAGGCCTCCAAGGTGACGCGATGTAGTCGGAGCTTATGTGGTCCTGGGCAGTAGGGGGAACAGTAGAGGACACACTTGGCGATGTTCAGAGTCAGACCAAATCCTTGTAGAACCTCTGCTAGCTGCCCGAGGCGAACTCCGAGTGTACGACAGTCAGGCCCCCAGAGGTAGCCATCATCCATATACAGGAGGTCCTCCTCCAACATGTCATGGAAAAGGTGCGAACCCTGATCCCACGAGGACTTAACCCTGGCCTGCTCCAACGCAACCTCCATGAGGAACGAGAAAAGGATCGGAGATTCGATCGATCCCTGTTTGATTCCAGACTTCATGGCCAACAGACTCGAGCCCCAGCAAGTCTGGAGGACGGCCTCCACGTCGACCAGCAGGGCGTGGAAGCACCGGTATTCGGCTGTGTCGCCGAGTCTGGCGCGTAAAGCAGCAAGGAGAGCAGCCCGATTAACTGAGTCAAAGGCTTTTCGCACATCTACCTTGACCACCCCTAACCCTGCCTTCCATTCTCGTTCTAACTCGCAGAGCTTCCACAGCGAACAAACCACGTCACATGTCTGTCGTCCTGACGAGGCGCACTGAGAGTGAGTCCGTGGAGCTAGTTTAGGAGCGATGCGGTTGACGAGGAGGCGTGAGAAGAGTTTGGCTGCTGAGGAGCCAACTGCTATGGGCCTGAGGTCCGACGGAGCAGTAGGGGAGTCAGTCTTGGCGAGCATGATGACAAGGGGCCGATTCCAATCTCGGGGCACAGTCTGTGTACACAATGTACGATTCATAAACTCCAGTAGGTGCTCAGGGCCCCCAGTCGTCTGCAGGATGCCGTCCAGCAGTTCCCTGGATGTGAGATCAACCCCAACCGACTTCCCCTTCCGTATCTGCGAGACCGCCTTGGTGAGCTCTTCGATGCTGAACGCCTGGACCGGCCCCACGAAAGGGGGCAGTGGAGGAAGGTCATCCCCGGAGTAAACCTCAGTAAGGTGTTGGTGCACAGACTGATGAGGATCACAGGCTTGGGCATCAGCGTAGACGAGGTCCCAACCCGTCGCTTGAACCCGGGTCTCATCTCGGAAAGCCTGCCAGTCCCCCTCCGTAGCCCTTCGAATCCTCGCGCTCTCCCAGGACCGACGAGCCTCTCTACGAAGGCGAAGAGCGGTTTTCCAAGCAGCAGGGGAACGAGACGTCTTAGCCCGTCGAAAGGCCTCCTTCACCGCACGGGGGTCCCGGAAGCACTTACTGGGGCGTGGTCGTGTGCACTGAGCAGCTAGCTGTCGGAGAGCATCCTCGTGCAGTGCACCCTGAGCCAGAAGCGGAGCTCCAGCAGTTCGTGGTCAGTGCCCTGCAGCATGTAAGAGTCCTCGTGGATGTAGAGAGGAACCCCTTTTGTAGCCCCAAAGTCGATCTGATGACCCTCACAGCCCTCGCGTCGGGGCCTGCTGGTAGGAGTCGGGAACTGCCGTGACGGCGGAGGGCAAAGCCGAATTCCCGCTGCCGAAAACTGGTCCAGCATCATGATGGATTTGCCCTCAAGGCCAAGAGCTTCAACAGCCCCAGACCCAGCAACCCAGCCTAAGTGAGCATTGGAATCCCCTTGCAACAGGACAGGCCTGCCGTCCGAAGGTCGCCCCTTGAGGAACTCCAGGACTTCCTGCTCGTGCTTCTGAACCGTAAGCCCAGGAGTGAAGTGAAAGGTTGCAACCCAGAATTGAACCGAACTTCGCAAAGACTTCAGCAGGAACCAGGTACCCTTCCCTTTGGCGACCCTGCGAATAACTGACCACGCCAGGGGCGAATAGAGAAGCCCTGTCCCTCGCCACTGTGAAGAACCCTGATGACCCACAAGCCTGTACCCTTCCTTGGTGGTGGTGGTCGCCCAACCTGTGCGTGAGCGAGGAAGTTCCTGTAGAAGAAAAAGATCACTGTCGAAAACCGCCTCACGTGTAGCCGTTTTGACCAAGTCGCAAAGCGTGTCGGCCGAACATCCTCCAAGGTTCCATCCGAAAACTCGAAAACCCCGGTCCACCGGCCGAGTGCCGGCACACTGAGCCTCAGCGGATAGACCCTTGGATCCAAAACAACTTGTCGAAGGCAGAGCACCTAAGGTGCGCTGTGTCTGCATGTCAAGGAAAAGAGAGGAGGCACTGCTTTGCCCCTCTGAATTCGGCTTGCCGGCCCTGGCCTCGTGTTGACTCCGGAGCAGCAAATCATGCAAAGCGGAGAGGCTCGGATCCATTCAGCGTTGGGTCTGCTGTAGCGCATCCCGCAGCTGCTGAGTGCCAAGCTTGGTCTCCGTCTTCAAGGCCTTGAGATCGAACCACGGCTTGCTACCTGCACGCCTGTCCTTTGGGAAATTTGTACTTAAGTACATTTTTTTTCTAAGGACAGGCCAGCGTCACGCTGTTTTTTGTGCTTTCGGAGGCTTGCGTGTTGGGGGACCTGAGCCGGGAGTGATGGAAGGCAGCCACTTGAGCCAAAAAACAAAAAAAATAAAAAACAAAACAGTTCTGGCGGATTTCAAGCAAAAACGGAGAGATACATGTGTGCATTATATAGTATGTGTATGTATTTTGTAAGCAAACATGTGTTGTGTAGCGTTTAGAAGAACCCCAAAACCCTGAAAAAGACCTTTCCCTTCCTTCTCTCCTCACTTTCGCACAGAATGCAGCAAACATGTCGCGTGAAATGCCCAAGCTTCGTAAGCATCGGATGACATCAGTCACGATTGCGTTGTCAAGCACGTAGATACGTCCTAATAAGTAATTCCGTATAGATTGTGGCAACCGCAGTCAGGACAAACAAAGGCTGCATCAGGGGAAAGTAGCTGCGATATTTGTTCGGCCATCGCAGTAATGTGACACGTACGTAGACAAACAGTACGTTCTTTACTCCGGAAGCCACAGCAAAGTTGAACCCCAGATAAATAATTTAGCCACCGTGCGAGCCCTGAAAACTACACACCCCGCGCGGAGCCACCGCGAACCCTTAGAAACCTACACACCCCGCGGGGCCTAACCCATCAGACCGCGGCTACACCATAAACCCTGGCTATCATCAAGCCAATAAACGCCAGCAAAGCACCCAACCCACAAACACGGGCCGAAGTAAACCCCAAACCCTATTATTCCGCTGTACTATAAGCCTACACGCAAACAATTAAACGTATCAACGAAACCCGAGGAAGCCTGACAAACTGAAAAGCCTCACCCTCCAACCCCAAACCCCAAACATCAAATGCCAAGCCCCGCAGACCCTAAATCCGAAACATCTTGTACCCACATGTACCCCGAGCAAAAGCAGGCCCTAAGCCCCAAGCCCAATTTCTCAATAGCTTAAACCCCCGACCCTACAGTATGTGAGGCCAAATATATGATATCTGAAGACTCCAGCGAGAATATGCAGGCCTAGATTCCGAAGACTCAAACCAACCCCTAAACCCCAAACCCCAAACGCGAAGGCCTAAACCCGAAACCCTAAAAACTTAAACCGCCAACTCCAAATATTATATATGTACATATATAATATTTGGAGTTGGCGGTTTAAGTTTTTAGGTTGTCACGAAATCTGAAATTGCCCAGCCCACCCCAGCGCAGACACGACTGCTCGCAAGCCACTATATTTACCGGCATCCATGCACGCTCATGCATGAGTGGCAAGCCAATGCGCCAACAGATGTTGCCCGAAATGTTATTTGGGTGGCATCGCGTAGATCAAGCTATGCAAAATTGTTGCACATGCACTCACGCAGCTATATATAGGGCGCCCCTGCGAAATGATATTTGGGCCTATAGCTGTGGCAAATCTCACTCAGATGTTGCCCGAAATGATAGTTGGGCCTGAGCAATATATCAAGCTATGTGAAATCGCAAAAGTTGCCCAACGAATCGAACTGAACCGCTTCTTGTTTTACCGCCCCGCCAGCCAGCAGTTATACTGCAAGAGCCACCTTTGCAGCACTCGGAGCGACAGCGTAGCGGCGTGCACGGCCCCACGGGCACATTTCATGACTTTGCCGACAAAGTCCTCCTCGAGATTGCACCCGGCGTACCGGGGATTCAATCGGCTGTATGTCAATCTGCAAACGCATTCGCAATGATATTGATGAAACTTTGGCCTGATCTTATACCTGAGTGCGGTTCTGCTCATATTCTTGATCGTTAGCACACTCCATGCTTGCATGTAATCACATATTTAGACGGGAGGCCGTGGCTCCAGCATCTCGAGATATCGCGATGCCAGGGCCAGGTAGGAGTGGCAATACCATCTGCCGAGCCTTGGATCATCACAGACTTCTACAAAATTCGTTTTTGCACAACAGGGCTCCACACACACGCAACACCGGTGCAGCAACGGTTCTGCTGCGCCAGCATTGCCTGCTCATCCGACAGCCAGATTGAGCAGGCGTCCAGCAAATTCGAGAATGCTGTGATCGACCAGGCATTCACTGCCGCCAATCGAAGCTCGGGAATCGTTTGGCAAACCTCCTTAGGCCCAAATCCTATACAAACCACAGCTGAATACAAGCGTGGACCGCAGATCGTCAAGCAGAGAATATCGCAAGGCAAGAGGCAGACAGCCGTTCGGCTAAGTACGCCATCCTTATATAGGCACATGCAATGTTTGTGCTTTGCTCCCTTTGCGCTCTCCCTATACTCTCCCTCTCTGCTGAATTATTGGTGTGCCAAGCAACAAGACACGGTTTGCATATCCTTTTCCCGGCCCCTTCGGGTACTCCAATGTGACCGCATCGATTCCCAGCTTCACCAAACCTCAGATATATTTTGCGGATGCAGCACGAATTGTCAGTACGGAGTGGTTCCAGCAGCCGAAAATACGAGCAGCTGGGTGACTCAGTCCATCAAGAATGCTGGGTCGGATATGGTGCTCCGTGCACCACATCTGAAAGTCCACATGCAGGTGATGCAACCTTTCATCCCACGTTTCGTAAGCCTGAAACTGCGGAGAAAACTTCGCCAGCTCCATAACATGAGACGCAGTGGCATCCCTCTCAGTTCCCAGATACAGGCAATGGAGCAAATCTGGATACTCACAGGAGTGGTGGTAGCCAGGAATTCTCCACATCCTCGAATACGACACTTTGTGGCGCAACATGCACGGCGGACACGCACTTGGTAATTGTCTAGAGCCTGAACGCAAAGTTAAAAGTTTCCAAACATAAGTCAAGCCTGGTGACGCGATGTTTGCACCAACGCCTAAGACAAACGAAGCAGCGCGTGCAATAAGTGACACCCGCGACACAACTCAAGCCAGCTCCACACCACACTTGCATTAGAGCACCATGCCGCCTAGCTACTATCATTCGAAGCTTCATCCAAGTCTGCCTGGTTATCGAAGCCCTCACGCATGTCAGCCCAATGCTTTCCAGGTGTGCTGCCATCGCACAAGCATCTCGGGCAGATTCTGCCGGCGTTCTGCTCACGAGGAGCATTGCTAGCAAGGTTCCCGTAGCTTCTACATTGTTCCAACCATTCCCTTTTGTGCTTCCAATCTCCCTTCGATATGACAGGGTGCATGGTCCATCCGTGTTGGCCTTCGCTGGCGGGGTCGCCACAAATCCGAAAGGAATCGGCGTAGTAGCGCTGTAGCGCCTGAAGCGTGATATTCTGGCCGTTGTCGTAGACAAATCTGTCTGATCGCACAACCTCAGCCATGATTCACACACACTGTGTGCATGTGCACATCCGCTGCACGCATACATAAGCGACGTCTGGAATTCACATAGATGCATTAGAGGAATCTAAAACACCGGCCAGGGCACACAGAACGGGAACTTCTGCAGCATCGAGTCGCCCCGGTGGATGGCCAAGGGCGAAAGCGACAGGATCAAGATGCTTTTGCTCCTCTTCCCAGTACCCTCATCGCCGTGAATCGACACGGCCACCGCTTTTTGCCTGGCCTCCTCCGGCCAGGACTGCACCGGATGATTCCTTGTATATGTTGCCGGATCGACATATGAAACATTCCACGTACTGCACTCTAGAAAACAAACAAGACACAGTCCACACACACCTGCATGCTGCGAGAAAAACGCATCCCCCATGGCTCGCTCTTGGCCTTCTGCCACCAGTCCAGCCAGTCGACAGTGCCCGCCCTTATTGATTGCGCAGTGTGGATGGAGAATTCAAAACATCACGACATCACCAACATGCGAGAGCATCTATTCCAATCTATGCATATGCACGCATGCAATGCCAGCAAGCATCAGCTCTGCGATCAAGCCAGAGCAAACCATGCTCTTAAAGAGAATATGAGGCAACAGCACCGGCAGCGTTTGCATGCACTTATTCTCAGTCGACTGGGCCCTCTTGCTCTTCTTCTTGGGGTTTCGCCTCCTCGGCAAACCAGCCCTCCTCAAGCGACAATTGATTTGTCGTCGCACTTCTTGTTCTCGTCGCGCTTCAGCACGCATATCTTTCATCATGAGGGACACCGAACTCAAAGGGCATACTAGTGGAGCCTCGGATATCCTTGCATACATTCCGACATGTTCTTTAGACGGCATACATATATTATTTATATTTAGACATCTAATATAATTCAGACCGGCGACATCGCTCTTCGAGGAAGATACAGCCTTGCTCAGTTGCTCCTCGATGTGTTGCGCACAACGTCCTGATGCGCCCAAACTCGCAGCCCACCTGGTACCTTGGAACCGGGCATCTGCGTGCATGATTTGCCAAGGCATGCAATGATATAAGGTATTATAACCATTGTGCAACAAGGCACTGGGGGTCACATTTGCATCCCCTGCTTCTGCGACGGCCGCAGACGCCACTTCTTGAAGAAGTCCGGAGCTGGCTCCCCGGCCCACGTGAAAACCGAGTGTTCTGCTCAACGCGCTTTTCCGCAATGAAAACTCGGCAAAAGATGGTCTTCTGGCAACAGAACCATCACTGCCAGCAGTCGCCTGATTTCTGTCCAGGCTCTTTTTCAAATGAACCAGTCTCTTCAGCAGCGGCATAGGAGCCCAGGCTGGGGTCAGACAGCACGAAAAGGAAAGCCATGATGACGTGTAGGGTGGGCTGCATGGGTGGGCTCGTGTAGGGTGTGGTGGTGCATGGTGATACATAGTGGCATGTTGCATACCAAAGTGCATAGGGTGGTCTTGCATGGTGCATGGTGGTATTGTGCATGGTCGCATTGGGGAGTGAATCATACAAGTAGTATTACAAGGTGACCGATGATCCAGAGGTTGAATGAAAGAGAACGTCATCGCATGACTCAACAAAAACTCTACATGGGGCTGGGTTGGCACCTCGAACATAAGAAGCATGGCCGTGCACACATATGCTCATGGACGACTGATGCCAGACTCAAGGACACGCGCTTCAGGCTTCAAGCCATGCATGACAAGTCGACTACACAAACCGCATCAATGCTTTTGGGGGATGATCGCACTTGATGCTGCCGGCCGGAAGTGACTCAAGGCAGGACTGCAGTACACTGCAGACCCCAGGCACTCCAGCATGCGGCGGCCTCCTGTAAGATGCACAGCACACTAATCATTGATGCAGAACGCCAACTTCAGGGTTTCGGTGTTTCGGACTTAGGACGCAGGATTTTGGAGCTTTGGGTTTAGGATCTACAAACACTTCCGGAACAAGGTAGCAAGAGGATATCTGCGATGGCAGCTAGTCACACAACATAGAGTGCCGCGCATGCTGTTCTCAAAAGATGAACTGCTGGCCGATCCCCGCTCACACTCAGAGCACACTGGTTTTTTCAGAGGCAGAGTGCTGAGCACAGCAACCCTCCAGCCATCAGCAGATCGAAGGAAAGGAAAAGGAGGCTTCCATGGGTCGGATGCAAAATAGCGGTTAATTCGGGAACCTTGATGGTATCAGCAGGCGGTATGAACCCCGAACACCAACACGTCCCAATTAGAATGATTGATGCAACCAAACCACACTATGCTAAACACTACATACATATATAGATGTATATGCCACTCCGAAAACGAGAAACCATGAAAACACATACATACAGACAGGGCTCAGCTAGGACCTACGGTTCGTTATAAGACGATTTACAGGGTTCTAGCTGTTTAGGATTCGACGTATTGTGCTATGTTTCCTACTCAACCGCTACCCACCCACCCACCTATCATACCTAGACCGGCTACAACCATATGCAGAAGCTACCATATATGCGCCTCGGTTTGCATCCGGACCTAAGCCTGTGCTGCAGCCTTTGCAGCCGACTTGGCTTTCTTGGCCGTCTTATTCGCGGGACGTCGCTCCGAAGCGATCCTGAGCCGAACAAGAATCGTGATCTATTTTACGAATAACATCAAGCTTCACATGGATCGACTGTCACACACAATATAAGCTGCACATGCCAACAAAAAAACATCCTATATATATACATCTGAAGCAAGAAGCAGGCCATTCGCCACTCGAAGATGCTTCTTGAAACCCTCCACAAACACGGTAGCCTAGGAGGTGTCGCATGCAGTGTGCCGAGAGGCAAGGGTCAAGGTCTGCACACACACACACATACACTGCACATCGTAACCGAAACATCTGCCCAAGTCGCCTCCAGCAGGGCCGATTGCACATCGGCGGCCACTGGCTCTGTCCCCATGAGCTGGAGCTTCTTGCGACAAGCCCCGATGCCTTCGGCACAGTCCTTAATCTTCCCCATCAAAGCCTCCTGGCTCTCGAGGACCTCCAACCTCAGATTTCGGAGCAGATGCAACTTTGCACCGAGAAGGCTTTCCCGCTGAAACATGGTGTTCGCCTGCCTAGGCACTCTGCACACGTTTTCACGGCTTGCCCCTGGGCCGTGTTCGCCGCGGCCACCCACGACTTCACGAAAAGTCCAACGTTCTCTCCACTGCAGATCAACTCCATGTCGGATCCCTGCCCAGGCAGGCTATCTATCGAGCTGGGATATGTGCATGCATGCATGGGACTATCACGTACACACGACGCGTGTGCCTCCGGCTTCGGAACTTTCGCCTTCTTGGGCGGCGGCTGGGGGTCTTCCGTCGTCGTGCCGGGTGGCGCAGGCGCACTGCCTTTTCCCTTTGGAGCCGCCTTGCCGGGGGCCGGCACTGGCGGGTTCACCGAAGAAGTAGCCCCATCAGCAACTGGCAGGGCGCCGTTCATGGAGTCCAGCTGTGCCGCCACGGACGTGGCGAAGTTCGGGCAGACGCCCATGCTGATTGCGATTTCGTCCTCATTGTTTCCAACAGCACCGTGACATGAACTACTATACAACAGCATCCGGATCCGGACATGAGACAGTAGAAAAAGTGCCAAGACGCGATCGTACGAACCGTCAGGGTCCGTCGCTGGCGGCCGTAATATAGAAATGTCTCCATATCAGGATCATTCCGATCGCAACTGGTCCTGACACTTTCTGTTTTCACTAACTATTATGGAGCACACGGTACCCTAACTGAACTGCAAGACATGATCTTCACGCAACCGGTCCCTTTGGGCTCTGCTCTGCGTCTTGCAATGAAGGATAAGGCCTTCTGTTCGTTGCCCTCGTGAAAGGCGAGTATATCACGCCAGCAATAATATTCACCTGTGCATGACCACATCACATAGACCAACTAAGAAACCTTCCAAAAAAACGACACACATATTCGACAAACTCCCAGAAATATAGCACGGCTATACGTATAATATATATATATATATATATATATACATACATATGGATATACATTATCTTCTGTATTTCGTATATGCTATAACATGAGAAAACTTCAATATAGGAATATGCGGATCCACCTTCGTCTTTGCTCTCCTCCTCGCTCTGCCGGCGGAACTGGAGGGCACATTCCAAAGCCGCAGGGTTACCTTTGGGATGACGGGATCGATGAATACATCTTTACACTCTCAGACACACAACGTGTACATTAATAATCTCAGCTACAGAGTACACGAGGCTACGGCGATACCCGTCGTCATATAGTTAGTGCATATACAATAATATATAAGCCTGGCCACAGCCTGTCAGAACAAACTTCTGGAACATTGCCAAGCGCTGCGGTCCGCCCTGCACCCACACCTTCTTCAACTCCACTGCTCCCGGTGAGTTCTCGCAAAAGCGTTGGAACGAGCGGTACTCAGTCCTGTGGGTGCTTGAGTTGACCACAGGTCCCGTCGGCGGGGCTTTCGTCACAGCGGTCTGCGGTGGCAAAGGCGTCGAAGGAGCAGGTCCTGTCGGCGGGGCTTTCGTCACAGCGGTCTGTGGCGGCAAAGGCGTCGAAGGGCTCGCAGTGCTCGGCGGCGGCAAAGGCGTCGAAGGGCTTGCTGTGCTTGCCGGCGGCAAAGGCGTCGAAGGGCTTGCTGCTGTGCTGGCCGGCAAAGGCGTCGAAAAAGGGCTTGGCGGCAAAGCCGGCTGCGAGTCGATGATCTTCGTCTTGTCAACGGCCTCGACTCCAGCAGCAGCATCAGGGGCTTTTGCAGCAGCCACAATGCTGGCCATGGTCTGCTGAATGGCCGCAAGCCCCGCTGCATCAACACCATGGCTCACCGCCGTGCTGAGAACCGTCGCCAGCATCGTCGTCATGGCATCACTCGTCGGCCCTGCTGCAGCTGCTGTCGTCTGCTGCTGAAGCGGCACAGTCGGCAACGGCATCGGCTGGGGTACTGCCGGCGGCTGCTGAAGCGGCACAGTCGGCAACGGCATCGGCTGGGGTACTGCCGGCGGCCCCTTCGGCACAGGTTGGCTGATGTCGGAGTCGACGGAATCCGCATCACTGGTCAACGACAGCGAGCTGCTCGAGCGGTACCGCGACCAGAAGTTGCCATACATCGCCTTCTCCTGCAAGGTCAGCTCCGGCAGCGCATACTCATCCTGTTGAATGAGAAATACAAAGAAAAATCATGCCAAATTATTATAGATCGCAGAAAATCACAATTAGCTGCTTTGCATAAGGCTTGACATATCACGAACCATCACTGCTCTACGTGGTGAATGTCCTTCACAGCAGCAGCCTTCGGCTTCGTCCTTGCCGCACTTTTCGCTTTCGCCGTCACGGGAGTCGGCGACGGCGACGGTGCCTTCACCAGCAGTGCTGCTGACGTGTCCGGTGCAACCAAGTCCTGCGAGACAGATCGCATTTCGGTCGGCACCAGAAAACACACACAGAAAGAAAATGTCACACTGCATGCATTATATTATGTGTCCCATACGACGGTGATACATCCTACACGTCGTGTTTAGGGTTTAGGGTGTATACATAGACCGGCCACGGACTCAGGTTTTGCGAATATTCCAGACAACATTAACAACGGAACCTGCCTGGGAGACTCGAGCCACCTTTGATGTGTCATCAAAGGAAGCAGCCGAAGCCAGTGTTGACACAGCGCTGCGATTCAGCCGGGGCGGGGGTTCGGGCGTGTCATTCACACTGATTGGCTCCTCCTGATCCATCTGCGTTTCAAGCTCTTGCACCATCTCCAAAATGGAGGGAGTTCCAGGCTGCTGCAGGAGCGTCCTTGCTGGCGGAAGGTTCTGCGGAACTGCACACGGAGCTGTCACCTCTTGCGGTCCACTTGCTGGCGGAAGGTTCTGCTGAACTGCACTAGGCGGAGCTGCCACCTGCTGCGGTCCACTTGCCGGAAAGTTCTGCGGCGGATCTGCACTGCTAGGAGCTGCCACCTGCTGCGGGGGGCCACTTGCCGGAAGGTTCTGCGGGGGCACTGCACTTGGAGCTGGCACCTGCTGCTGAGGGGGGCCACTTGCCGGAAGGTTCTGCTGCGGGGGAACTGCACTTGGAGCTGCCGTCTGCTGCGGGGGGCCACTTGCCGGAAGGTTCTGCTGCCAGGGAACTGCACTTGCAGCTGCCACCTGCTGCGCACCTGCTGGAAGGTTCTGCTGCGGAACTGCACCTGGAGCTGTCATCACCTGCTGCTGTGGTACACTTGCCAGGAGAAGGTTCTGCTGCGGAACTGCACAAGGAGCTGCCACCTGCTGCGGTCCACTTGCCGGAAGGTTCTGCTGCGGAACTGCACTTGGAGCTGTCACCTGCTGTGGCGGAAGGTTCTGCTGGGGAACTGCGCACGGAGCTGCCGCCTGCTGCGGTCCACCTGCTGCTGGCGGAAGGTTCTGCTGGGGAGCTGCACAAGGAGCCGCCATCTGCTGCATTCCACCTGCTGCTGGTGGAAGGTTCTGCTGCGGAGCTGCACAAGGAGTTGCTACCTGCTGCGGTCCACCTGGAAGGTTCTGCGGAACTGCACCCGGAGCCACGTGCTGCGGTCCACTTGCTGGAGGAAGGTTCTGCTGAGCTGGACTGGGCGGAGCTGCCACCTGCTGTTGCGGTCCACTTGCCTGAAAGTTCTGCGGCGGAACTGCACTACTGGGAGCTGCCACCTGCTGCGGGGGGCCACTTGCCGGAAGGTTCTGCTGCGGAACTGCACTAAGAGCTGCCACCTGCTGCTGCTGCTCTCCACTTGCCGGAAGGTTCTGCGGCGGAACTGCACTAGGAGCTGCCACCTGCTGCGGGGGGCCACTCGCCAGAAGGTTCTGCGGAACTGCACTAGGAGTTGTCACCTGCTGCTGCGGTCCACTTGCCGGAAGGTTCTGCGGCGGAACTGCACCAGGAGCTGCCACTGCCACCTGCTGCTGCTGCGCTCCACTTGCCGGAAGGTTCTGCGGCGGAACTGCACACGGAGCTGTCACCTGCTGCTGCGGTCCACTCGGCGCAAGGTTCTGCTGAACTGCACTAGGAGCTGTCACCTGCTGCTGCGGTCCACTCGGCGCAAGGTTCTGCTGAACTGCACTAGGCGGAGCTGCCACCTGCTGCTGCGGTCCACTTGGCGGAAGGTTCTGCGGGGGAACTGCACTGCTGGGAGCTGCCACCTGCTGCTGCGGTCCACTTGGCGGAAGGTTCTGCGGGGGAACTGCACTAGGAGCTGCCAGCTGGTGCTGCTGCGGTCCACCTGCTGGAAGGTTCAGCTGTGGAACAGCACCATCACGTGGCTGCAGCATCGTTGACCTTGTATAATCAGCAAGACTATATACTATAATCTAAGGCTATCCAGAACTTCTTAATTAATTCATTGAGAAATAATCTCTCTATACATATATATATATGTATATACACACATATATTATATATGACATATATATGTTTACATAGGTATATCAATATTGATCCGGCAAATACCACAAAGGGAAGCTCAATCCGCGGCTGCATTCTTATGTACCTGCTGTCCCTTTCCCATGGCAGTATGACAATAAGTAGCCTCCGGCACCCACCTGTCGCTTAATATGTAGTCCCCCCGAGCTGCGGGTTGCGCTCGCTTTTGTGTTTGTGTTTTGTGCCCGCAGGCACACCCAGCCTGTCCCCTGCGATAGCGCTTGCGATTTTTTGTGGTGTGCGTTGTGACCAGCCTCGCCGCTTCCCCTCCCTCAGTGGTCTTTTCCATGCAACGCGGTAGCGCTCGCGAAAGTGCCCAGGCTCGTGTGTTCCGATGATTCCAAGGGGGTACGCGGTAGCGCTCGCGAATTTTCTGTGGTGCGGTTTTGTGCCCAGGCACGTGTGTTCCGATTATTCCAAGGGGGTAGCCCCCCTCCGCGGTAGCGCTCGCGAATTTTCTGCGGTGTGTTTTCTGTGCCCAGGCACGTGTGTTCCGATTATTCCAAGGGGGTAGGCCCCCCCCGCGGTAGCGCTCGCGAATTTTCTGCGGTGTGTTTTCTGTGCCCAGGCACGTGTGTTCCGACTATTCCAAGGGGGTAGGCCCCCCCCGCGGTAGCGCTCGCGAATTTTCTGCGGTGTGTTTTCTGTGCCCAGGCACGTGTGTTCCGATTATTCCAAGGGGGTAGGCCCCCCCCGCGGTAGCGCTCGCGAATTTTCTGTTGTGTGTTCTTGTGCCCAGGCACGTGTGTTCCGATTATTCCAAGGGGGTAGGCCCCCCCCGCGGTAGCGCTCGCGAATTTTCTGTGGTGTGTTCTTGTGCCCAGGCACGTGTGTTCCGATTATTCCAAGGGGGTAGGCCCCCCCCGCGGTAGCGCTCGCGAATTTTTTGTGGTGTGTTTTTGTGCCCAGGCACGTGTGTTCCGATTATTCCAAGGGGGTAGGCCCCCCCCGCGGTAGCGCTCGCGAATTTTCTGCGGTGTGTTTTTGTGCCCAGGCACGTGTGTTCCGAATATTCCAAGGGGGTAGGCCCCCCCCGCGGTAGCGCTCGCGAATTTTCTGCGGTGTGTTTTCTGTGCCCAGGCACGTGTGTTCCGATTATTCCAAGGGGGTAGGCCCCCCCCGCGGTAGCGCTCGCGAATTTTCTGTTGTGTGTTCTTGTGCCCAGGCACGTGTGTTCCGATTATTCCAAGGGGGTAGGCCCCCCCCGCGGTAGCGCTCGCGAATTTTCTGTGGTGTGTTCTTGTGCCCAGGCACGTGTGTTCCGATTATTCCAAGGGGGTAGGCCCCCCCCGCGGTAGCGCTCGCGAATTTTTTGCGGTGTGTTTTTGTGCCCAGGCACGTGTGTTCCGAATATTCCAAGGGGGTAGGCCCCCCCCGCGGTAGCGCTCGCGAATTTTTTGCGGTGTGTTTTTGTGCCCAACACCTACCCACCCGCCCCCGCGTGTGCTATTTTTATGTGTGCCGTGGAAAGAGCAACCCCCGTGCTTATAGTGTGTGTGTGTGTATATATATATATATATATATTTATATTTATTTATGTATTATTACTGTTATAGAGTAGGAGGACAGGAGAGGAGAGGAGAGGAGAGGAGAGGAGAGAGGATGGGGAGGATGGTAGTGACGCCGAATGGCATCTTCTGCCGCACCATCTCCTGTTGCTCTGCAGAAAGCCCAATCTGACCCAGCAGCAAAGCATCGATCGAGGAAGTCACTTCCTCGGATTTGTTTGCATACATATAGATATGTATATAGGAGAACATACCAACACACAAGCAATAGTGTGTGTTTATACATAGCAAGCATCGGAAGCTGCAGCCGCCGGGAGCACAGCCGGCGGTTTGCCGGCAGGTTTGGGTTTCCCCATCATCGAATTGCGAATCTCAAAGCCGTCACTACAGACTGCAATGCTTGATTTCCACACAAGCAGCACAAGAAACAAGGATGACTGATCCATCGCGAACCAATGCTGAACGAATCTCACAAGCTCCGAAGCACATCGGATGCCATCGCGAACACGATTTTCAGGGTTTTGGGTCCTACGTGTTGAGTTCACAGATTCTACGCATTTTCCCTTGTTTTTCACATGTTTTTCACATGTTTTCGACAAGTGTGTTTTCAGCATAATGATGGTGATCAAACGTTACTCGGATGTTATTTGCAACATACTTTTAGGTTTTGGGTCCTAAATGTTGAGTTCACAGATTCTACGCATTTTCCCTTGTTTTCGACAGCTTTTTCACAGGTTTTCGACAAAGGGTTTTGTGCCCTTGCGATGTCGATCCAACACACACACAGAATCATGAGATGCTATTTGATGATGTTTGTATGTTGCACGCTGTTGTTCTTGAAGTCCACATTTGCATTTCGTGACATCGCCCGGCAAGCACAACCCAGCATTGCCTTTCCCCAGGTTGCTGGGCTACAAACCTTTGCGATGCCCTAGGCAAAATCGCTCGGCCAGACCTTCGGCAGCCTTAGCTTTCCACTATTCAGCATAAAGTGCACCACCTGTAGCAGCGATGCCTGAGCTCATGCAATGGCAGGAGACGTACCGAGATGGTTTGTTTCTCTCAGTGCCGCCTAAGTACGTCCTCCTGCCAATCGATGGGCTCCGCAAACAGCAAGGTAATTTGTGCCTTCAAGTCGTACGTGTTGTCGTCAGCGGCAGCGAACACGTGTGGCCACGATTGCTCGTGGCATCCAGCACAGGATTCCTGTTTTTCTTTTTTTCTGAATGGGTTCCTCTCTGTGAACTGTTCTCAGGCCTCTAGGATCATCGAAACAGCCTCAATGCGATGTCTCCGTCAAAACTCAGGTTTAGCTAGCTAGATTACAGTAGAAGCCAGAAAGTTGGAACATGAGTTTAGGAGGATTAGTGCCCGTTTCCTTTACCTTAAGGGCATGAGGATACTAATGTTCCAACTTTCTGGCTTCTACCATAATCTATGGGATACGATACAAACCCTGATCAAGCAGAATCTGGAATCCAGTGTAGAATTGTAAACCTCCAAAGATGCAACGATCGAGTGGAGCCGACGATGGCTGATTCATCGCCAGCAGCCAGGGCCAGGCGACGTCCAGATTTGGATGGATGGATGGGCTCTAATAAAATGAGTGTATATGTATACATATGTATATATATATATCAGGGACATTATTTTGTGATTATTTTTATGAATAGACCCTAAGGCTCCATGTACCCTTATAGTAGATTGATACTTAGGCCTTAAAGTATCTATATAGGGAGTACTTTGGGGCTTAAGTATCTACTACAAAGGTACATGGAGCCTTTGGGAGATAAATGGTTAGTTGCATATATATATATATATATATATATATCTATATATATCTATATATAGTCAGATATCAAAGACGAACAGATAGATACAGCGGGGCTTTTATCAGACGAGCAGTCAGCAAGGTGTCGGCTTCGGGGCTCCAGACTGGGTGTATTCGTGTACTCAGTACATTAGTACGGGCTTGGGGGTGTAGGGGTATATAGTTGACAGCACAATAAAGCGGAATAACTATTGCATGGGTCAAGTTATAACAAACTTATCTCTCCAACTATCATTTGGGAGGGCAAAGTTGAAGAACATCCCCAAGTGCGGATGGATGTTAAAGTCTATATTATATTGCTTCAGGTTGAAAGAAAACTACAACCTGTAGGTTCAAGGTTCAGGCTTTGGAGTACGTATATAGAGGATATACAGGACACTATATGGCGCTCATATATAGAGGAAACCCCATCACAGTCCTATCCGCGTGACACCGAAGCCCGAACTCCTGCTATATATGCAGAAATACTCGCCAACGGACACCGAAGCTGCAGCAAACCGTACCCTAACGAAAAGCCCAGCATCAGTTTAATCGTATAAAGTCCATGATTCTGTCCTACCGGTTCCTCAAACATAATCGAGAAACTTCTACAAAGCGGCAGACCAACATCCCAGCGCAACCGGCGATATATAACCCGGCCCAACACTGATTGCTACGTGTAGGTCCCAGCGTCCTCGCAATTGGCAGCCGCCCAAGCATCGAGCACCGCTTTGGCGAAGTCCGGGGTGTATTGCCTGGGACCAGAACAATTAGTCATCGAATAAAACAGATGTGATTGTGCGGTTTGCAAGTGAAGGGCTCCGGCTGAAATACAACCATCGATGTGTCGGGAACTTTATTGATCAGGTTATCTCAACGTCAATTCTAGATCGAGGAAGTGCGTAATATTCATGGGCGAAACATATGCCGGTTGATCGTCGCAGAAGGCTTGATACTTGAAGTTTCGGTTTCCGGGTCGCAAATTGCGGACTTGAACTCTTTCTGAATTACGGAACATAACAAACTTACATAGAGGATTATAGGCGTAAAGTCCACTTGGAAGCAGGTCGCAGTGCCTTGTACAACGAGTTCGTCCATGAATGAAGCACGTACTTATGGTGCTAAGGCTTGGAGTTTGGAGATGTCAAAGCAGTTGATCTAGCTGCCTGGACCCTAGCTACATGGCAAGAGAAAAACCCCTGAGTGTTGAATATACGATAATCAGGTGTACCCAGCAAGCCTAACCTGAATGAAACAGCATAATGACATAGTGTTTAGCCATTGAACCTTACAGCAGCCAAGGGCACTGAGTGTCCTTCACGTCCTTCGGCTTGCCAGTCACAGTGGGGTTGCCACGTTCCTGAGATGTATTCGCATGCAAGATTCTACCACAGCACGAACACAAATGCGACGATTATTAGAGATTCGTCATTCCCGACTATGGGATCACACGTGTATTACATGATGTGTCACCCCATATCCCGATATATTGAGTATAGAATATAAGGCTTACAATAAGAAAGGCATCTCT